AACCAAATCCTTCACTTCCTCGTTGTTTCGAAGACTTTCTTGAGGTGGGCCGTGTGGCCGACCTCAGTGCGGGAGTTGACGATCATGTCGTCCATGTAGACCTCGGGCATGTCGCCTACCTCTCCCCGGAAGACTTTCTTCATCATTCGTTGGTAGGTGGCGTCGGTGTTCTGTAGGCCGAAGGGTATTATGTTGTAGTAATAGTTTCCCGACTCAGTCATGAATGTCGTGTCTTTTTTTTCGACCTCTGCCATGGGGATTTGGTTGTACCCCGAGTAGGCGTCCATGAAGGACAGCAGTTTGAAACCCGCCGAGTTGTCGACGAGCTTGTCGATGTTGGGGAGGGGATAGGCGTCCTTTGGACATGCTCGGTTGAGATCGGTGTAATCAACGAACATTCTTCATTTTTCCATTATATTTTTTTACCAGTACAACATTGGACAGCGAGGTTGAATACCGAGCTTCCAAAATAAAATTTGCCCTAGGAGGTCTTTTACAGCTTTTTCAGTCGCCGCCGATTTTTCGGGGGACTGCCTACGTCTATGTTGTACTACGACCTTCGCGGTCGGGTTGATGGAGAGTTGGTGGCAGGCAACCTCGAGATTGAGGCCGAGCATCTCGGCGGCGCTCCAGGCGAAGAGGTCGGCGTTCTCACGGAGGAAGGCCTTCATCTGCTTACTCGCTAGGTCGGGCAGTCCTGCTCCAATCTTCACGGTCCTGGTTGTGTCTGCGCTAGGGACTACTATCTCGAAGTCCCCGTCTAAAATGGGGCGTGTTGGGTGGATAGGCTGCCCGTTGGCCATTGGAGAGTGTTTTCGGCTTCGTTTTCGTGATCCGGTTTGCCAGGGAAGCGACAGTCGAGGTCTACAGCGTCGACGTGGTCCTTTGGTCTGTTCTCCTGGACGGGTGGAGGCTTGGATGCTTTGGTCGAGGGACCGATCGTGCTGAGGCCCTTCATCGCTGCTTCAAAACACGTCCAGGCTGCTTCTATGTCCCCGTTGAGGGTGACGACAGCTCCCAGCCTGGTATAGTACTCCATCTTTAGGTGGACGGTTAATGGCACTGCGGTGAGCTCGGCCAGTGTTGTCCTGCCTAGGATGCAGTTGTACAGGGACGGGAACTCGACGACCAGGAAGAGAACATTGATTTTTCTGGCCGTTTCCTGTGCCCCAAAGGTGACTTTGAGCTCCACGTATCCCCATTGCCTTGTCGTCGTTTCGTTGAACCCCTGGAGGTCGGAGCCAATGTAGGGGGTCAGGTTGGTCTCGTCGAGTTGTAGCGTCGAGAAGAGGTGGGTATACATGACATCCACTGAGCTCCCCTCGTCGACTAAGATGCGGCGGACATCGAAATTAGCCATTTGTGCCTGGATCAGTAGGGGAATGGCCGAGTTGGGTGCTTCCCCAGGGAGCTCTTCGAGATAGTATGTGATCGGGTTTGACCGGCCGTGGAATTTCTCGAGCGTGCTCATTTTTCCGGAGCTGTTGCTCATTAGCTCGTCAAACTTCCTCTTTACCGACCCGACAGAGAGCTTGTTCAGGGTCCCGCTTGAGATGACCATCGCCTTGGGAAAGTATTCCCACGGGCTGATGGGGCATACCGGTTCCTCGGGTAGATCATGCCCGATATGGAGAATGTGTTCTCTCAGTGAGAACCAGTCTTCGGGCTGATCAACACAGAGGGCCACCTGTAGCCCAGATTCATTGGCGGGAGGAGGGATGTCCTCGAATCTTTTGGCTTCGGGGGCCTCTTGCCGGGGGGCATCTCCTCCTCTGGTGTATCTCTTTAAGTGTCCATCCCTGATGAGTATCTCGATTGCGTCCTTCAGGTGGATGCAGTCCTCTGTAACGCGCCCGTGGCCCCGATGGAAGCGGAAGTATTTGGACTTGTCCGCGTTGGCCTTGGGGGGTGCCAGTTTGGGAAAGCGGGCACCTCCCCGAACGAACTCCGAGTTGGCGCACTTAGCCAGTATGCGCTCGCGGGAAACGACTAGGGCGGTGTATTCGGTGAAACGGCCTGTAGGGCCCTTCTGCTCTCGGGGACGATCGTCTCGTTGTCGGTCTCCCCCACGCCGGGGGGCTGGCGCTCATTCTTCTCGGAACCCGCAGGGGGTTTCGCGGTTGCGAGATTCCTGGGCAGCATTAACATCCTCGGTTTCCTCGTACCGGATGTAGTGGCGGGCTTTCTCGAGGAATCCTTGCAAGGTGGTTGGTCGGTGGATTGCCACGACCTCGTAGAATTTGGAGTCGCGGCGTAGGCCTTGCGCCATGAGGTAACGCTTCATATTGTCTGAAGTCGTCACCTGGACTGCTTCCCTGGTGAATCTCTCAATGTAGTTTCTTAGAGGTTCATCCGGGGCTTGGATGATTGCGCCGAGGGCGGCTTCCGTCTTTGGATGCTGTGAAATATTGCGAGAAAAGATCCTTCAGGACCCTCCACAATGTGACGGACTCAGGTTCTAGACTTTTGTACCAAGCCATGGCTCCCTTCCTTAGCGTCGTCGAGAAGAGCCTGCACTTGATAGCTCCCCAGACGTTTATATAGTCGAGCATGACCTCGATGTCTTCTAGGTGGTCGTCCGGGTCCGAGGTACCGTCGTACGTGGAGAGTACAGGCGGCTTCTCCATCCTGTGAGGGATGGGGGTTGCCATGATTTCCCGCGATAGAGGGGTCTTGTAGTCATCCTCGTCGTTGCGGACATGGGAGCGTGAGGGCGATGGATCGTGCCAAGGGGGTTGGTTACGTCCCCTCGACCTCTTGCCCGGGGCTTCCGGCCTGTTCGCTCTTGCGACCGGGGAACGCCTCTTCTTCCGGGTATCTGACCGGGCGCGTTTCTTGGAGGCCACAGGTTGAGGCCTCTCCAGCTGTGGCCAACGCCCTCGTGGATTGGGAGAGGGGCTCCGGGAGTCTCCGCATTGATTTCTCCGCTGGAGAGAGCGCGACGAGGTATCTTGCTCCAGCACGTCGATGCGCTTGTTCTGCTGGAACAACATCAAATTCGTTTGGTTGATGGCTGCAAGAGGGCAGTCATCGTTGGGTCCGCTCCAGCTGGCGTAGGAACGAGCTGGAAGACAACCGGGTTTCTCGCTCGGGGCACAACGTGATGTGTCGCGTCCTCGGACGAGGGAGAAGCAGTCTGGCCGTCCCTGGCGTCGCCCTCACGGGCGTGGGATGTCCCCGCCTAGTCGTCGCCATTGGTGATTGGGGCGAAGACGGAGTTGTGGACAACATCATCGTGACGTGGGCTAGTCATGATCTTGGAATTTGAAATCGGAAGCTTTGGTTCTTCTGTTCAGAGGAACGGGGAAGCTTAGTTTCTCACAGACGTCGCCACTGATCTTGCCTGATCAGAAGGGAATCAGTGACCTGCCACGTGTCGTTGATCTGAAAGATGTTCACCGTAAGTAGGGAGAAGGAGAGGGTACCTGCACGACACTCTGATGCCAAAGTTAGTAGGAGACCAGAGTGAGAGCAAATACAGAACAAAGGTGGAGAATTGAATACCTGACCCTCTAGTGAAAGAGGGTATTTATAGAGATCTCAGCGCAGGGCCAACGGTCACTTGTGTTGGGCTGGATTGTCAGGCCCAACTCAGGTGACTGTTAGGGCTTACGTGGCGTAGTGCACGTGGTCTTCGCCCTAGTTCAACTGTCTCATGATCTCCAGAAGGTTGGCTGACCAGCTCTTTCGGAGGTGGGTAGTTGGCTGATGACGTATTCCCGCGGAGGGAGCACGTGGAGAACGTGTGGAAGACGTGTTGTTCTGTCCGGCCATGTCCAGCATCGTGCCCGACACGGGGGGGATTTAGGCTTTGTTGGGTGTTCCCCAAATATCATGTGAACCAGTTATACTTTACTATTGATTTCATATTTTAACTAAAACTTCCATAATATAATAAATTGACATAATATATCAAGTCAATTTTGAATTAAAACTTGCAGAATATTATGAATTGAATATGCCAACTTGTCGCACTAAATGCATAACGTTAATAGGAGAAAGGGGATTGTAATAGTTTTAATAGTGTGTTTAATGGTTTACCATCCCAAATAACACCTAACCAACCAAATTAAATAACACCTAACTAACCAAATTAATTACTAGAATATACGAACGAGCAGTTGGATCCCATGTTTCTTTAACTAAACAAACGATATCATTGTAACAAAACAAATAATATTCTTCCACATTCAGTTGTACTTCTAACCTCTACTTGGATAAGCATTAATCAAACACAGTACAGGTGCATCACAACAATTATTAAAACCATAAAACTTGTTCTTTATTTCTGGCACAATAATATAGTACACTAGTTAATGCCTTGCTATCAGCATCATATGTCTATAATTAGCATCATAGTAAATATAATACTCCTATCACCAATAAAACAACACACCATTCAAGTTTCTATGCTGTCCTACTCCTTCCAGTTACACTCATCATTACCTTACACACGTGACTTCCGCGTGCTAATCTACCTAACGTGCATATTACTATATTACAATATTCACTTTGTCAACCAAACTGTTCCTACAAACACAGTGCCATCATGTTTCTGTCTTCACAATATAGTAACTTGTGTCACCTTGTCCACTTTAAGAATGAATGTCCCTTAAACTCTTCATTAAGGTTAGTATATTTATCATATCGTTAAACTAACTCAGTTGAAAGTCGTGCAGATTCGTAGACGTTAAACTAACTCAGTTGAAAGTTGTGTCATTCAATTGCAGATTCGAACACACACCATATAGCTTATGCTAATAGATTCAAAATATAAACACAAGTCGTGAGACAGAACGACAATTTAACATGAAATCCACTACAACATAGTACAATGATGAAATCATTCACAAACAAACAAATCCACATCTAAGACATATTTGTCCCGCCAAATTATGAGTCAAACTACTATACTAACTTGGAAAATGGGACTTAAAGGTCAAATACAATCCACTTTGAATCTCTTTTCCTTCACTTTTTTGACTCTACAATCACTATCATTACATTATCGAACAGCTGCTGGTAGTATTGTCATCACTGAACATGTGTGCTGCAGAGTTATGATCCTCACTAGCATTTGCATACGAGTAATTTGCAGGAATGTAGTTGTTATAATTGTAGTAATAGCCAGTATTTGGAGGAACAAATGGTGACCTGTGATACATTATCTGAGGCTGTTGTTGTGGCATCATCATACCATTCCTTGCCTGCTGCATGTTCATGTTCATCAATGGAGATGAATGGTTGTTGAAACCATTCATGTTCATCAGCATAGTTGGTGGAAATTGTCCAGTAACAAAACCACCGTTAGGAATTGCGGTAGAGTTTCCACCTAGAATAGTAGTCGCACTACCAACACCGTTGTTGTTGTTGTTGTTGTTATTATTACCGTTAAAACCTGCTAAGTTCATCATAGCACCAATGTCACTACCCCGTTTGGATTCTCCGAGGCGGAGGGTTTCACCATTACCAACCAAATGAGTATTGTTCATCTTCATAGCCGCCATTGTTTTCTGATCAACACTATTACCACTTTCCTTCATTCCCATATTCTGAGTCGACCCTCCTTTCTTGCATCCATTGGCATTACCATTACCATTGCCGTTGACATTGCAAGCATTGTTCATCTTAGCTCCGATACTTTTCTTCACATTGCATGCATCAGCTGCATTCTGTCTGATCATTTGAATTTGATTCGCTTTCTCCCGGACAATCTGCATCTCTTCATCTTCTTCCTCTTCATCATCAACATAACCGTAGTACTCACCGTCCTCTTCAGAAATAAAAGCAGGAAACTTCTGGTTTTTGAAGGCTTCAAGCCCTTTAACCAGCCCTTGTTTCTGTCCTTTGTTCTTGTCATCTTTGACAACATTGTTGTTCTTCTGCTTTTGATTCTGATTATTGTTAGTTTTCTGAGACCATAGCTCCGCATATTTTCCAGATCTCAAAAGCTTCTTGATCAATGTTTCAGCATCCACACTTCCTGAAACTGTTACCTTCTGCTGTTCTCCATCAATTTGAACTTGATAAACACCTAAAGAACAGAAGACCAAAAATTATAAAAATTCCATGCAAATAAAAACTTATGAATTATGTTCACATTATCCATATTATCATGTTGAGAAGGAAAAAAGGTAAAAATTATAAACACCAAACTTTTTACAGCATTAAATTTCAAAGGAAGTTATGAAAAGTAGCATTCATGTTATGATGTTACTAAATGGAACAGATCAGTTAAATATAGGCACACAAAAAATCAAATATTTATGTTTTTGGTAAACTAAACAATGCTGAGTACCTTCAATTCTTTGAAGGAGTTTCTTCACTTTCTGCTTACAACCATCACAGTGAATATTCACTTTGAGTACACAAGTCTGTAGATGAAACAAATAAAGATTTAAAAGTGAAAAGACGAAAAACCCAAGTTTGTCATGTTAAAAGGAAGCTAAAATACGAAAAAGAAAAAAGGGTGTTAAAAGAAAGAACAGAAAGCATTATTTGTGATAAGGAGAGAAAGAAGTACCTGGATTTTAAGGAGCTTAAAGTCATCTTCTTTAGTCATTTCTTCAAAGTGCTGTTTGGAATGAAACAAGAGTCCTCTTTTTTCTCTCTTTTTTTCTGTTTGCAACCAAAAGAAAAAGAAGCTTTAACTTAAGCAAGTTCTTGACACTCTCTCTATACTATTGCTAGGTAGTAGTAGTAGTAGTGGTAGCTAGTCTTGTTCTTGACAAGTTCTCGAAAGTAAACAAAAACAAAGGCACATGGGTTTTACAGAATAAATAAAAATTTAAAGGGGTGTGTGGGGTGGAAGAGTAAGAAGGAAGAATGGTAAGGAAATGGAAAAGTCAGAGAGAGAGGGTCTTGGAAACTGAAGTGATGTGATTTAACGTTAAAAAGATATAGAGAGATGAAAAAAACAATAAAAGAACAACAGCGACTTGACATGGCGAATTCATACTCTGTGCACTTTGTCATATCTTAACGTACTACTCCTCCTCAAATTCTAGTCTAGTTTTTGCATTTTATAAGACCTATCAACCGGTGTAGATATTTTAACTCACAATGTTACCTATATAATTACAATTTTTTTCAAAATAATCATCTTTTTTAATTATATATCAAAATAAAAATAAATAAATAAAACTCGCAGGAATGAACGTATGTCGGATTAATCGACGTCTACATTCAAAATTATACAAATGCGTTAATCAAAATGGCGAATGCGCCAATTCAAATGTGTCTGACAAAATAGCGGAGTTTGCTCCTATTTATCTCCGGGTGTGATGGAGAACTCAATGCTATGTAATTTTGAGTAGAAAATATTTGTTTGTTGGTCGATTTTAACGAAAACTATTTTGTCACAATCGACGAAAAACATTGTTTACCCAAAATAGTTATAAGAGTGGACGTTTGCATCACATTGAATGGATTTCTACATATCAACGTTCACGGAACAAAGTCACTTATCTCACTCATACATATGTGGACGAGTTGTTTTGCATCGTCTCGAGACAAAATATCTTTCGTTTAAAAAGATTTTAAAGGTTGTGCCAAGAGGCAAAATGGTTTGGATGTGTTGAATTATTTTTGGTGATAAAGAGAGCTCGGATGGTCGAGATATTCATCTTATATCCTAACTACGAGAGCGTCGCAACTGCGAAAAGGCCGGCGGAAACAAACAGAAGAGTTGCCACCGAATGTTATTTATCCCAAAGAAAGGGAAAGGAAACGATTGAAGAAAACCTAAAAAGAACGGGAGAAGACAAGGTCATCGCAACCAAATCTTGGGTTCGGAAGTCGGTTACGCAAGGGGAAGATATGAGCACCCCTCACGTCCGTTGTACTCAACGGGATCCACGATTGTTGTCTATAAAAGGGGTAAGTTATCTAAAAACTACTGTGAAACCAAGGGAAAAAGAAAAAAAAAAGACTCGATAGGACATCGTCGCCCTATGCTTACGTATTCCCTCGTGCAATGAGAAATCGGAGCAAACGTAGTTCGGGAAACTAGACCACATGTTGGTTAAGTGTTTTTTATGAGTGACATTAAGTTTTCATTCCAGTAGTTATGGTCGATGCCTGTTTCCGGTAGAACGAAAAAGTAACATACTCTTTTCTGAAAATTAAGTTGAAGAACAATCCCGAAGGATAAAAATGTTTGAATTTTGTTTGTTGGTTTTAGTAAAGTGGATTGAGTTAGTTTGAGACTCGCGTTGCACTAAAAACTATGACACAAGAGCGAATGCGTCGCATATCGCCCAAAGGGCATACACTAAACACTCTAGACAAGTGAGGAGAAACCCCCCACTTATCATTTCTCATGTACTTAAGGCTCGTAGCGTACAACATTTGTTATTCTTTATTAAGTGTCTTAGAGAAGTTTGAGATGAGAAGAGAAGACACAAGAACACTAAAGGGAACTGAAAACCCTAATGTTATCATACAAAATGGTCGTAAGGTTAAGATGAAAGGAAAGTCCACCTAATGTTATCATGCAAAGGATGGACATAGAGTTGAGATGAAATGGACTATCCTACTTGTTATCATACAAAGGATTGAAAGTCTAGTGTCTCTCCTACTCCCATCTTAAACAGAGGGACTAGGAATCCTAAGGGATCATGTGAACACGCACAAGTAAACAATAACCAGTTCAACCACATATGAAGAAAAAAAACTAAAAGAAATCTCAAAAGAGAGAGTAGATGAAGAAGAAGAGAGGTGCACAATCAAACAACCAAGACCAAAGTCTCAATCATAATCATATCCAAACTCATGCAATGTAGACATTACACCTCAAGTCATATCATAGGTGAATTATATGTCCAAACCACACTCAAGGTAAGGCAAGGCAAACAATGAAAGAAAATAACCTAGGAAGCAAGGTAGGGCAGCCATAAAATGATCAACAAATGATCATCCAATCATGGATACATAAGGGAGATCACCTAAGTTTGAACAAAGTTAAACTTCAAAGTGAATCGACCATCATATACATCCACAAATGAAAAACCAAACCAAGTGAATATCAAAGATCCAAATGACTTGAGGGAAAGACAAAACATCACCCCAACATAGATCAAAAATCATTTATTCACTTATTGGTAAACAAAATCAAAATAAAATCAAAATAAAAAGGAAGCAAAAATCCTAAAAAGGGAAAGAGGATATCAAGGCATGAGTGAAGACTCAAATGCATGGCCATAGGTCTAGGACCATCATAGGGTCGTGTGAAAATTTCCTCAACATTTTAAAATGTTCCAAAGTAATTTTAAACTAATTAAAATCAAACAAATAAATTAAAAATACATGAAATATAGCAAAACAGAAAACAAAAATCCAAGAAAATCACCATAGATTCAAAACCATCATAGGATCATATGAAAATAATTTCATAATTTTAAATGGCTCAAAAGTATTTTAAAACCAATTAAAATCATGCAAAACAAATAAAAATAATGAAAAATAGAATTTCAGAAAAAGGTTTGGTATTTTTATTGATGAAAAATGAATTTAATATGAATTTTTGAAAATAAAATAAAATTAAAAAAAAATTTAGAAAAAGGAAATAAAACAGAAAAAACAAGATGCGTTGGATCTCATTTCATTAAATGATGTGGCTGATCCAAGGATCAAAATGCGTGCATCCACGATGGACACTAGTCAACGCATGCACACGGATCCAAACAAAGTCAGACACAACAAGATTAAAACGCGTGGCAAAGTGGATGGTTGGATCATCATCTTCAACCTCCAGCTCTCTGCAATTTGCAGAGGAAGGTCAAATTTCATGGATCCCTCAAACCGTATACATTGGGGCTCATAGTGGTATCATTTGATTCGTCTTTCTCAGACGATCTCAACCATATCATCGCGCCAAATTTCTTTAAACCACAACCCAAGTAATTTGAAAAAAAAACAGAACAAGATTCAAATACGATTTTGAAAATTCACCAACAAAACTCAACTACAAAACTCAACAAGATTCAAACCACAGCACACCAAGGGCTACATCTTAGCAACAAATTTGAGTCAAAATGGTTGAGAATTATACATGTTGAAGCTTAACCTTGAAGCTCTGAAAATGGAGTTCTCTAGCTTAATTCATGCCACGATTCTTCAAGCTCTTGATTTGGTTAGCTTCATTGAATGTTGGTGAAGCTAACTGAGTAGAGAATTTGAGTGTTTAAGGTGTGGAAATGGAAATTTGAAGTTCAACCTCAAGAGTTAAAATGGGATCTTGGCAGAGTGGTTTTGGCTATCAAAAGCTTGCCAAAATGAATGGAAATCACTCCCTATTTATAGGGGAAGCTATCTGAATCAAAATGAGGAGTTAATGAGGTGAAATGGATGGAAATCGTGCACACCTGCAGCATGCTCTAAGTGTGACTTAAAATCTGTCAAAACACACTCAAACCTTGCATTTCAAGGCTCTAATCAACCCAGGAAAGTTGGTTAAACATGTTTAGCTTGAATTCGTGCCTTAAATTGGTGATTAGAGGTCACTTCAATTAAATTCAAATCTGATCCCAAGTGAAAATCCAACTTCAAAATTCAAAATTTGCAGCCATGGTTCTCACAATGAAGGAGGCTTTTTGAGATGATTCTTCTTGCATTGGATATAGGGAGGTACAATCTTTGCAATATGAAAAGAAAGTATTGATTTGGTAGCTTGATTTGAGAGATATGATCCTTCAAAGTAGCCTCCATGAGAGAAGTGAAAATCACAAAACACTTAGAAACATTTCAAGTCTTTTAGGGGCCAAAAAGAGACCTATAATATTTTGATGAAAACCAAGCCCTTCCATGGGTTTTTAGCTCTTCCACATTAAATCAAAGTTGTAGAGGACATCTTCGAGTCTGTTCTAGGAAAAGAATGTGTTCCAAATGATAAGAATTGACCAAGTTATGCCCTTTTGAAGTTGACTAAGAAAACCTTCCAAAACCCAAAATGACATATAATGTCTTGAAACTTTTGATGACCTTCCAAGCAAAATTTGATCTTTCCTTGCAAAGAGGACTTGTTAGGGATGATGAGAAGAGTTCATTAGAAAAAGAACCACCTCAAGATGTTTAAAATTGAAGGAGATATACTCATTTCATCATAGCATCCACAAATTGCCATATTAGGTCAAACACCTTACACCAAACTCGAATCTCTTAATGATTTCTTGCACAATAAGCCATGATGAAACATATATGATGTTGGAATGATGTTTCCTTGAACCACACTTGATGATAAGGGACTTCTAGGGTTGGGAACACCACAAAGCCCTAGAGAACCCTTTGCATGAACTTGAAGAAACACAACTTTCTTGCTTGAGAAACAAACCATGATACCTTGATCCCCTGCCAAGAACAAATGTTATGCAAACATGAATATGAAAATGAAAATAAACATAAGCCAAAAGCACATGAGAAGATGGGGAAATTTTGGGGTGCTACAACTGCCCCTATTCAAATAACTTGGACCTGAACGGATGAAAAGCAACCGCTTTCAAACGTTTAAGGTAAAAGGTGATTGAATTCCAAAAAGAACCCGGAAATTTGCAACCTGTGGGGATG